AAATGTACTAAAATCTCAACTGAAATGAAAATGGAAAAAAAACTACATAAACATTACTAATAAAAATTACAAAAACTGAAAAAAAAAAAAAAAATCAAAACTACAATAGTTTCAGTCACTACTGCTATTAAAATAACGGCAAGTACGTCAACTTATTCTACTAACCATAACCAGTCTACTAATACTCTAATGACTGCTAGTTGACATGTAGTTCCTTACAGTCAGCAGAATTTCTAAGACCATCAAAATGTGTAATGAAACATGTTTAATAAATCAGACATGAGCTCTGGGTTTATTCTCAATCATTTTTGTTTTTATTTATTTATTTATTTAAGAAGCATGCAAGTGAAAACACTGCAGCACAAAATAAGCTCTGCAAAAGAAGGGGAAACGTTCCCTTTGTACGGTCTGCTGCTGACAAATAAAAAGAGTTGCTCATCTCAAGAATAAGCATTTTGACATTGTGTGGTTAACCACAGACACACTTATGTATTAAACTCTATGAAGTGCCTGGGCTGTTCAGCCCGCAAGACAACTGCACTGTCCTGGCTTTCCTAAAACAAGCATAGTAAAAAAAGGTAAACATTAGAAGTATGCCAGAAATGTGAATTCAACAAATACATTTCCTCTTACTCTGTAACCGATGCAAAGTGGATACTCACATTGTGCACAATTTTCAAGCCGCCTTTAAAATGTTATTCAAATTTTATGAACTAAAACCAGTTTAAGATGTTTCTCTCGAACAAATAAACCATGCATCAAAAAAAAAAAAAAAAAGTAAACTCCTTACTTGGGTGCACAAAAGAGCATGAACTGCAGGCATCTTGAAAGATCTGAAAGTGTGTCTTTTAATAACTGTTACATTCACAAAATACATTTTTAAAATGTTTTGGGTGATGAATGAATTGCAATAAAAGATTATCATTCATCCCCACAAAAACTACTACATCCGTTTGCTTAAAAGAGCATGACTATCACAAAACCCTTAAAAACCAAGTCTGACGTTTTTGTGTGTCTGTAAACATGTCTACAAAGGGCTCATTCAACACTTGTTCAAGTACTGGAGTATCTTTATGACCGTGAGGAATGCTTTGGAAAGTGCAATATACAAACAAACAGCTTGACAGTCGCTTCCACTCTTTGCACAGTGTCCAGACGGTAAAATAGAGCGAAATCTCCTTCAGTCTTAGTGCAGTTGGTTTAGTGAGCGGCGTGGACCGGATACGCCAGCCGGACGTCCAGCGCCTGGTTGTGCTGTGCCAGCGAGGTGTGATGGTAGTGCATGACCAGATCCTTCAGAGACTTGTGGAGATCGAAGGGCTCGACGAAGCCGTAGCCGCGCTCCGTGTGGCGAATCACGCAGTGCCTCACCTGGCTGCCGACCCTGTGGATGCAGAGATAAGAGCAGGGCTAGGAGAGCTGAAACTAAAAACGGAAACACTCATGCATTGCTATAAAACTAACCAAAACAGAATCGAAAAGACCTAAAATGCTTTCTGTTTTCATTTTTGATTCTTTAATCATAGCAGAAAGCAGAGCAGAATTGACAGTGAAGGGACAATCAGTGACTGATGAAGAAATATCATTTTACCATCTGTGTTTTGCGGAAAAAAATAAGTCATGGAGATTTGACAGAATATGAGGGTGAGTAAATGCCCGAATTTCATTTCTGGGTGAACTAGCTCTTTAAGGTGGATTAATATTGTGAATCTGTTCGATTAAATGAATCGGTTCATTGAAGTGGAACTCAACAATCGTCACATAATGCAATCGGTCGTTTCTCTCCAGTCTAATGGCGCTTTTCCACTGCATGGTACGGCATGGTACGGTTCACTTTTGGGGGTTTTTCCACTGGGTACAGTACCTGGTACCTGGTACTTTATTTATGGTGCTTTTCCACTGCGTGGTACGGCTTGGTACGGTTCACTTTTGGGGGTTTTTCCACTGGGTACAGTACCTGGTACCTGGTACTTTATTTATGGTGCTTTTCCACTGCGTGGTACGGCTTGGTACGGTTCACTTTTGGGGGGTTTTCCGATAGCAGAGGAGCGGATCCAGTGAGAGCTTGATGGGGCGACGCGGAATGAAAACGTTTTTTAGGAGTTGCGGCAGTAGAGGCGGCGCAACTATAACGACATGTGAATAATCCTGGCCACTCTAAAGCGGTACTGTGCCGAGCCGAACCGTGCCGTGCCGAGTCGTACCACGCAGTGGAAACGCGCCATAAGTGGCCAGAATAGGATGCAACGTGGAGCAGACTTCACACAATTCGTCAAATGTCTCCCTATATGAGACTATAGCCTCTGAAGATGCCAGTGAAGTTATGGAACATACAAACAAGCAAACAGGAATGCATTTCAGTTCTCGTGTGATTAAACACATGATCAAACACCGCTGACTGATGACTTACACCACAGAGCAGGCATAACAGTCCTTGGTGCTGCTGTTGCGGATGAGGAAAGCTCCAGACGGTTTCCCACGGAGAAGCTCCTCTGCCTGCCGTCGACCGAGATCTCCCACAAACCAGCTCTCCTCCTCCAGCAGCTCCACGCTCTTCTCACGCTCGCATTCAGACCTGAAAAAACAACCACTCAATAAGCAAAAAGCTCAGATTTTTTTTTTTTTAGCTCAACGGGAGCGCCTCAATTTGTCTTGTAAATGCCAGTTCCTGTTCACCAGCCATTGTCCCGTGTCTCCACAGACCTTACAGACCTATTGCATCAGACAGCAGCCAGACATGTGCCCACTCACTCCCTTTTGAACCGGAAATTAAACGGCTTCAGAAGGTGCCTTATATTGAGGGGCTTAGAGAAGTAAAACAATACGATTTTTTTTTTTACTCAAATCAGTGGTAACCGGAAGAACGTTTGTAGAAATACAATAAAATAATAATTACTGGCATTTAAGTCTAGTGTCACACACTTCAATGAAGATATTTTTAATGAAATTAGAGATTTTTGTCCATTCGCCCAAAACTTTGATTCATTAAGCCTTAACTAAATCTGTTTGTCACAAAGTGATCATGTGTCTTTAAAAGACTTGCGTTAAATCACTTCGTTCAAACGGCTTTCGTCCTGTTAAAGGGTTAGTTCACCCAAAAATGAAAATTCTGTCATTAATTACTCACCCTCGTGCTGTTGGAAACCCGTAAGACTTTCGTTCATCTTCGGAACACAATTTAAGATCTTTTTGATGAAATCTGAGGGCTCTCTGACCCTCCCATAGACAGCAAGGTAACTACCACGTTCAAGGTCCAGAAAAGTACCAAGATGATCGACAAAGTAGTCCGTGTGACATCAGTGGTTCAACTGTAAAGTTACGAAGCTACGAGAATACTTTTTTGCGCAAAGAAAACACAATGACTTTATTCCACATTTATGTGTCATCACACCGGATCTGGGTCAATTTTTTTTTCTGGGTCAAAATTTCTTGCATTATGTTCCGAAGATGAAGGAAGGTCTTACGGGTTTCCAACAACATGAGGGTGAGTAATTAATGACAGAATTTTCATTTTTGGGTGAACTAACCCTTTAACGCACTCATTGAAGGGTCATAATTTTGCTGTGATTAAGTTAAACATACAGATCATATGGACACTCACTCTTTCAGCTCACTCTGGACTGTGTCTTGGAAATCCTTGCAAGAGTTCTCCTGAGAACAACACTGTTCTTCAGAGGTCTCGGTCATGCTGACGGCCTCAAATGTTTCTCTCCTTTGGATTTCCTGTAAAGCAACAGGGAGAACCTTAGAAAAGCAATGCATTTGATATAAATTTCTTCTTTTGAACAATTAGATGAAAAAACTAAAACTAAACCAAAACTGAAATCATTGCCTTTAAAACTAACCAAAAAAAATAAAACCAAAAATTGAGTTTTCATATTCAGTTCCCAAGCGTATTTGTGTGTGTGTGCACGAGCGGTTGCTGCATTGAGCATTGTAGCCAATCATAGACATGTCTGTTGAAGGTGTAAATTGCCAATGGCCAATCAGAGGTGTTTAAATTATCCATGATAAGCTCAATACTGCAACAGAGTTTCATTAAAGCACAAGCAGCTTTATACACTTACAAGTCCTCTCATTACACTATTTTATATTATAAATCAGTGTTGGCTGAATACGCTTAGCTTTGAAATCCTCTCCACTTATAAAAACACTTTTATTGTGTTGGTTTGATTAGAAATACATTTATCTGATGTGAACATTTTGCATTCCTTATGTTAATAATGAATAATATATCAGTTAAATCTATACTATATTATGTATATTTCCATGTAGATAAGATTTTTTTTTTTTTTGTAATTACTTTTTTTTCTTTTTCTCATTACTGTGCTTAATGCAATTCAGAAAAACAAATATATACACTACCGGTCAAAAGTTTGGGATCAAAATGATTTATGTTTTAAAGGAGTTTCTTCTGCTCATCAAGGCTGCATTTATTTGATCAAAAATACAGGGAAAAAAAATTTATATTGTGAAATATTATTATGATGTAAAATAACATTTTTCTATTTTAATATACATTAAAATCAAAGTTATTCCTGTGATTAAAGCTGAATTTTCAGCATCATTCCTCCAGTCTTCAGTGTCACATGATCTTCAGAAATCAGTCTAATATGCTGATTTATTATCAGTGCTGCAAACTGTTGTGCTGCTCAGTATTTTTTGGGGGGAACCCGTGATACTTTTTTTTTTTTTTCAGGATTCTTTGATGAATAAAAAGTAAAAAAGATCAGCATTTATCTGAAATAAAAAGCTTTTGTAACATTATAATAGCAAAGATTTATATTGTTAGAAAATATTAATATTTTGAATAAATGCTCCTCTTTTAAACTTTTATTTAAAAAAAAGTATCGCAGTTTCCAAAAAAAAAATATTTGGCAGCACAACTGTTGCCAACATTGATAATTCTGAAAATAAATCAGCATATTAGAATGATTTCTGAAGGATCATGTAACACTGAAGACTGGAGTAATGATGATGGAAAATCAGCTTTGCATCACAGAAATAAATTAATGTTTTAAAGGATATTAAAATAGAAAACATTATTTTATATTGTAATGACATTTTGCAAGATTTTTTTTTTTCTCTGTATTTTTAATCAAATAAATGCAGCCTTGACGAGCTTAAGAGACTTCTTTAAAAAAACATTACAAGTCTTACGGATCCCAAACTTTTGACTGGTAGTGTGGTTATTGTGGTAGTGGTTATTTTTCCTAACCGACAACCAACGCTCGTTAACCGATTATTAACCGTTAACCGACAAAATTATTTTAAATTCTAATTTAATTAAATTAGAAAGGATAAGTGTCTGTGACCAGTTAAAAAAAAAAAATACTAACATTTGTTTTCCGGGGATTCATTTTGCATGCGCAAAAAGCAGCAAACAACAGAACATGAGGATTCACATGGCCATCATATCCCATCATGCACCTGCAGCGCTTCTGCTAGCGGAGAAAAACATAATAAAGCTAGGCTATAGGCCTATATGTATAACGATAAATAGGCCTATACGAGAAATATATTTTTACTTAAATAATAAACTAAGAAAACAAAAGAAAAACTGTGCAACAAGTAGCCTAGTATTCGGAGTTTCAGTTCATTTTTGTGCTGCGTGAAAGGAAACCAAGACGGCAGAAAGCGGCATCCTGTTTTTCTTTAGGCTTATTTTACAAAAGCACAAAGATTTGTTTTTATTGTGAATGTACACAAATAAAGGCAAACCTTTTACAATTCCGATTATCTTTAAGACTAAAAGGAGTAGTTGCTTCCACTGTTAGAAGGAAAAAGACTCAAGTGATTGCGCCGGTGCCGCATGCGCACACACAGTTAAGCATTACCTGTTCATTATCATAATAAAATACAGTCCGTCAAAAATATGGAAAAAACACACTGCTCAGTTTAAATATGTAGTCAAATCTGTGCCGTTAAGTGTTATCACCGCACCGCCATGATGTTATGCAAAACATTTAGTTTTATGTGGCTATTGGAACGCCAGTGAAGTAGGCTACATAATAAATAATATTTTGGCATTCAAATATATCACGAATACGGAAACATTTGATTTTGCGTCGAATGAGAGACGCAGCATTGTTTTCAGTTTCGTTTGAGTCTAAATGAATTAGTTTTGGCTTGTCGTTTATATTGCTATAACTTCTTATATTTGTAATTCTTGTTCTTTTCTAAATACTGTTAATTGAAAGGCTTTGTTGTGGAGTGAGGGGAACTAAAACAGCCTAGCTATGTTTACAGTGTTTATTATAATGTTTGTAAACATCTCGCGTCGGTATTAGGCCCATTTCTGAATCAAACAATAAAATGCGACTTGTGTTTTGTTTCCCTCAAAAAAACTATTTTTTTTATACACGTAGCATATTTCAACCATGCAGCAAACCTTTTTAAATATTTTAATAAATTACTAAAAAAAAATAATAATAATAATTAATTTTTTTAAACCGTTTAACTGATTGTATTAATCGGTAAAAATTCTTGACGGTCGGTTAACGGTTAAAATGAACATCCCTTATATATATATATATATATACATACACACACACACACACACACACACACACACACACACACGTATAAAT